TTTCTGATGAAGGGTCCAGGCCCGAAACGTCAGCCTCTCTGCTCCTAGGATGCTGCTTGGCCTGTTGTGTTCATCCAGCCCTGAACCTTGTTGTCTCAGAGAATTGAGGGGTGCAGTTTACAGGAGGCATTACTTTCATCACAGGTTGTGTAGACAGACATATCAGAACAGCAACCCTTCCTGAGGCTTGTTGTCATGTCAGGTGGTTGCGGACATCTTGAGCTCCCTTGAGAAAGCTTATTCTGTGCTGGACCTGATGATCTCGTGTTACCAGTGACTGTCCAAGTGATCACTACCCTCAACTACTTTAGTTCTGCATTCTTCTGCTAGCGACATTTTCAGGATCTCCCAGTTGATGGATGAATATGACAGTAGTTTCTTAGGATTCGCAACATTGAATGTGACAACTGAACAAGTGCCACATTTGAATCTTTGGATGGCTCCCCACAGATGTAGTATGTCATTCAATACACACATCGCAGCCTGTGCACCCCCATATCAACCAAGAATTTTCAATAAATACGGGAGCTTCCACTCCATCAAATTTGTAGCGTGTAGGTATTTTTTAATTTGCCTATTCACATGTGTTATGGTACATTCCATGCCTCCTGGCTCAAAAGTAGGGCCACTATCATTTCATCACTAGTAAAAGATTTTCAGTTTTGTGCAGGTTTCACAGAAAACTACAATGATGCTTTCATCCTGTATTTCCTAACATTTTCAGAAGTGCACTTAGAAGTATTATTCCTAAGGAGCTTATTGTTCCAGTACTGTAACAAACTGGTACTTGTCCAGCAATGTGGAAATTTGACTATGTACTGTACAGAAAATGCAGGACCAGTCCAACACAACCAATTTCTGCCCCATCAGTCTACTCATAATCATCAGCTAAGTGATAGAAGGCATCATCAACAGTGCTATCAGATATTAAATGGCATTTGCTCTACAGTAGCTTGCTCAGTCTCACTTAGTTTCCGCTCTGCAAAACCCACTCTGCTCCTATTTTCATAGCAGCCATGATCCAAACATGGATAAAACAGCTGCACTAAGAGGGCAAGTGAGAGTGGCTGCCTTGACATTAAGGCAGCATTTAACTGTATGTGGCATCAAGTTTCTCTAGCAAAACAAATCAATGAAAATCAGGGAAAACTCTCTACTGGTTGGAGTCATACTTAGTACAAAGGAAGATGTTTATGCTTGTTGGATGTCAATCAGCTCAGCCATTGAATATCTCTGCAGCACTTCTTTAGTGTCCTAGGTCCAACTATCTTCATTTGCTTTATTCATCATAATGTCTAAAGTGGGGATGTTCACTGACCCTGCAATGTTTCAGCATTATTTGTGATGTCTCAGATATTGAAGCTGTTCATATCCAAATGCAATAAGATCTGGACAACATTCCGGCTTGGGCTGGTAAGTGGCAAATAATATTCATGCCATACAAGTGTTTTGCTAAGAGTATCTTTAACAAGAGAGACTGCAACCATCACTGAAGTCCCCACTTTCAACATTCTGGAGGTTACCATTAACCAGAAAGTGAACAGGACCAGACATATAAATACTGTGGCTGTAAGATCAGGTCAGAATTTAAGAATTCTGTGATGAGTAACTGGATGGTTCCTGAGTTATATTATTAGTGCAGGTACAAAATGATATTTAGAATAAAGATTTTGTGTCAACCTTGAGTTTGTAAATGCCAATAAGTAAATGGTGTAGCATTAATAATTGATTTTCATAAATTTAAATTTGGTACTGATTAATGAAAAGCAATATTATCTGGATAATTGTAATTGTGAACGACCATCATCAGATTGTGATTATGATTTTAAAAGAGTGCAGTGATCGTTTAGAAAAAAGAAATGATATCCCCATTGCTGTTTTTCTTTAAAATGTGTGTGAATATACAAATATACAAAATAGGAACTGACGTAGACCATTCAGCCCTCAGATCTGCTTCATCATTCAATAAGATTACAGCTGATCTGTTTCTGTTCCAAATTTCAAATTTGCATCTACCTCTGAGAACCTTCAATTCTGTAAGCTAACAAGAATCTACCTACCTTTGCCTTAAAAATATTCAATGTCCCTATCTCCACTGACTTCTGGGCAGAGAGTATCAAAGTTGCATAACTGTCTATAGAGAAAAAAAAAATTTGAAATGTGGTGTCACTAATGCTTTGTGTAACTAAATCACAGATTTTACTTTTCATTCAATTCCTCCTGCAATAACAGATAGCATCATTAGTCTTTTATACCTGCACACGAACATTTTGTGACTCATCCGCTGGAAGACCCAAAGTCCTCTGCACTTTTGCATTTCACGACCATTCGCCAAGTAAACAATGCTGTCTTTTTTTCCGTTCTTCCTGGCAAAGTAAACAACTTCAGGTTTTTACACATTAAATGTCAACTGTCAGATTTTCACCCACTCAGTCAATCCATCTATGTTCACCTGCAACCTCCTATATCTTCTTCATAACATACTTTCCTACATATCTTGGTGCCCTAGAATGAAGTCCATCTGGGTCTGAATGCTTATCAGTCTGCAGCTCCATCAGTTTGCTCAACACCACTTTGCTTGTGGTTGTAATTTCACTGAGTTCCTCTCTCCCACTTCCTAATTTACAGCTAATGCTGAACTATTTTTGTATCCTCTGTAGTATGTATGGAAAAAGAACTCAGAAAGCAATTGAACTAAGTATAATAATGTAATCTCTTACTGATATCTTTTAATACAGATTGGAAGTTGTAAAAATGTAACTGTCATGTCTTTACGATCAAACAAACTGGAACGGTTGCCTGAAGAGATTGGACAGATGCAGAAACTGAAAGTGTTAAATTTAAGTGATAACAGGTAATGCAAAATCTTGATGTTATAGAAAATCAATTAAAATATATGCAAAATCATCAGAAGTGTATATAATTTCACAGCAATTTCCACTGCCCATATCATATGGACATCAAAGGAGAGTTCATACTCCTGTCACTCATAAATCTCGTATCACTATCTTAATATAATCCCTTTCTTGACAGAAGCTTTCAAACTACTTGTATGGAGCCAGTTTGTGAATTTAGAATACTAGCTGTTGAAAATATATTTGAAAATAAAGCTTATAGAGGACATCGTGGCTCAGTATGTGTCCCTGTCCATAGAGTACACATTCTTGTTGTCAGTTCCTTTAACTATGTATTTCTTAATACAGTTGGCTGTTTCAAGAATTACAAAAACTAAGTTAGTCAAGTTACCAAGTTAACATCAGTCACCTTCTAGCTAATAGTGTTGAACCAACATTCCAAAGCATTGACAGAGACTGCCCTCCCAGTTGCAGGTAATGAATACATGATATGGAAAAATGTGTGAGTGATAGAGAAAGGTTAACTAATTGAATAGTGTCTTACATTGAAGGTAGAGTTACTATAGTCTTACCAGGCGATAGGGCTGCTCTCCCATTAGAGGGAGATGACGGGTAGTGGTTTTTAACCTGAGGGTCATTATGCCTCTGGAGAAGGGTCCTTCATGGTAATCTTGGCTGGTGTGAGAATTAAACCTATGCTGTTGGTGTCACTCTACATCACAAACCAGCCATCCAGCCAACTGAGCTAACTGACCCTGTGTCATACATTACAGTGCTAATATACAGAATCTAAGATGCAGGTTAAATCCAGCCTTACAAAAAAGATGAATGATATGGCCAGAGCAGTTAGAGCTAATTCTAGTGTTTGGTGTATCGACACTCAAGATGTTGAATAGCCTTACCATGTCAGGAAGATACGAAGAATCAGCCACTAACAACCACCTATTTGTCATTGTGTTAAAGTATTTAAACAGCTTGACATCAAAATTACAAGGGTTATCTCCCAGAGTTAAAACATTAGCACAAGAAACCCTAAATAGTTTGCAATATGAAAGTCATTTATGAAATAAGATTTCAGTAATTTCTTCTGAAGTATCTGTCAAGACATTTAATTTTTGTTTGTTGCCCTTAATAATATTGATTTTTTTTTTAAATGCATGTGATTGTACAGAATGAGGTATTAATATAGAATAGGATGCATCATGTCATCATACCACAGCTGCCTCATTTAATTACACTGACCCATTTTAAGTCAGAGGCATGCACAGTCTACCAAAGATTTCCTGGCAGGAAATTGGGCAGGAGTTATGTGAGTAGGAATCCGTGCCCAACATAATACTGCCCTCAACTCAGATGTTGTTAATTTGGAAATTCCTCAATCTTGGATATCTCTATTATTGTTTTTGCTCTATTTTATGTATTAGAAGTGCTGGTTAAACACAGCCTAAAAGCAGTTCTGTCCTATAAATGGTACGATGGTGTTTCAATGCAATATGAAAGTGAAATTCTATCAACAACCCATTGTCCTAATGCATGATTTACCAAAGGATGAGTTCTTCATATTAAACCTTACCAGTATTTGGTGAATTTTAACAAATAAGAATTGATAGTGAGTGTGAAGCACAAGGTAACTCCACAGGTGTATGGCACAGTGACAGATGTGTATTGTATGGTTTGCATCTGCTTATACTATGAACTTATAAATTTGCCTAAACACTGAAGCTTGTCTTCGAATTGTTTTGGTTTTAATTGTTAAAAGAAAATGCATAGGTGACATCTTCAATTCACATCTTTTGTAATTTCTTCTGAAGCTTGTGATAGGGTTAACTTATAAGTAAATGTAAGCTGTAATGTTACTCAAAAACAACCACAAATTAAACTCCAAACTCTCATGCCAGTCAAAACATAAAAATGGAAGATATCCTCTGAGTTACCCTTAGTGTTAATTAGTAGGTTGAGAATATGTTCCTGCATTTTTAAGATTTGAGGACATTAATACACTAAGGTTAATTAATGACTGCCACATTCAATGCGGGAGATTTATGCAAATGACAAATTTGGTGGCATAGAAAAGAAATGGGTGAATGCAGTATTTCCAGAGGCCTCAGAAACCCTTGTGTGTTATTTCTTTTTCATTGTTAAAACTTAATCCATGTTCAATACACACAGAATTATAGACTCATAGAATGCTTACAGCACAGATGGAAGCCGTTCAGACTATAATGTCCATGCCAACATTCGACAAGAGCCAATCAGTCAAACCCATAGCCCCGAAATATTTCTTTCATCAGACTTTCCCTTTGAAAACCACAGTTGAATCTATCTCCTCCACAATTTCATCTAGTCAATTCAAATGCTAATCACTCACTCAATAAAACAGCTTTTCCTCATGTAATTTAGGTGTTTGGTCATTCAGCTTAAATTGAAGCTCTCTGGTTGTAAATCCTACTGCCAATACAAGCAGTTTCTCCCTATCTGCTCTTTCCAGACCCGTCATGATTTTGCAGACCTTTGTCAAATCTCCCTTCAATCTGCCACAAGTCCACCCATTCCACCACCCTGTCTATGTCATCAACCAATATTACCCTCACAGTTCACATAACTTCCAAATTTACACATTTACACATTTTGTATTTGCTCTTGAGTAGAACAAATTTAAAAAGTGATAAATTCCTTGGGGATAGAGTGTGTATATCATCCGCGTTACATCAAATTCTTGTGACCTTTGCAACCTTTTTAGGTTTACTGTTAGTCAGAACTATGTTGTATTCATTATGCCCCTTAGTTTGCTTTGACTTACCCAAGCTGGAGATGATTTTTTAAAAATTAAACCCCACGAACTGATATCAGCCATCACAGTCCCAGGTTCACACTTCATGGATGCTTACCTTTGGAACTTATGTACTGAGTATTGATTAACTCTTCAACCACAGGAATAGAAATGGGGTTGGGCATTCATATACAGCACAGGAGCAGATGAATATACCATTCAACGATTCATTAAAACATGATTACTTGGTGAGGTGTTTCCATTGTCCCAATATTCTAGTTTTGATATTACTGTGGGTAGGTAGATTCAAAAGCTGGAAGCCTGTTCACTCCCAGTTAAAAATTAAAAGTCCAGTAAATAATTCAACACTTGAATGAAATTGCAGGTGACATGTACAGTTCTATAATCAGTATACTAGTGCAATGGGGAAGACCAAATCACTATAGATGCTTTCTGGTGAGCAAAAGTCTGCCGCAACTTGGCCGAGCTAGAGTTCGAAGTCTACTGCTAAGGTTGCAGCATTCTGTAGTACACCTCTCTGCTTGTAACTTACATTACTTATGCTGTCCTTTGGCACAAACTTTGTTGAGTTTGAAAGGTTCTAAGCTTACAGGAGTCTGTGTCAAATGAGGCTGTGAAGAAGTTTGACAGCAGCACAGAAGTGCATATTGAACCAAATAGGGATCATATAGAAGGTTTCTCCTCCTTTGAGGAGAAGGAGGCAGAAGAGGAGTCCAGCTGTCCTGAGACAGCAACATCACATCTGCAATCAAACAAGACTTGGAAATTCTGAAAGGGCTAAAGATCAATGAAGGCTATGGAGGTGCCACCAACCCTGCTGACAGATTACACTGATTGTGCCTCTTTCTCTCCCAAGTATTTGGAGCACTTTGTAGAAGGCCTTTCAAGGATAGCAGTCACACAATTAAGTAAGGTAAATGGTGAGGAGACAGCTTCAAACTACATCAAAGGACAACCAATGCCTGTTGATAGCCAGGTGACTCTGGCCCATAACCCCTACATTTCAGTATACTGCTCTTTGTCTGCAGGGGAGCTTTGTTGAATGTCCCAATTTTTTGCCATGACAGCAGATGAGGACAGCCAACCCAAGACATTTTTGGGGGAAATGCAGATTTTCCAAAAAATACAAAGCGACTGTGTTGCAATCAAAGCACTCATAAGTTAGCCAAGTATTTTTGTCAATCATCATGGATTTCCCTTGCTGATTGTACAGATCATCTGTGATTACCAGCTTGGTAATAAAAGGTACCCAACAAAGTGGCTTCCCTGGCCTCCTGAGGCACTAGTGTAACTGACAGAGGGGCGTAGGAGCTGCAGTCACCATCAGCAGTGCCTTAAGAGGAGCCAACAGATGCAGACAACTGCCATTCGTCCACCAATACAAGGTTCGATCAGATCTCCCTGCTGACTGTAGATGAACTGGAACCTTGCTAAGATTTCAGGTCGCCTGTCCAACTCACATTGGCAATGTCTTGCTGAGGTCATTGACTGTGTCTGAGCTTGGTAGTCTGAATACAAGACCAAAAGCCTTTAATACTCCATGAGTGTTGCCACTCTGTCGATTGGGCAGCCACATGTTCTAAGGAGAGATGTGGGCTCCTCCACCTTCCTTGACAGGGCTCGCAGACTCACTGGCTTCTCCATCAGATTTCAATGCACCTTCAGTTGAACCTCTAGCATTTGTTGTCTGATGGATGACTCCAGAATCTCATCTGAGGTTCAGCATCATCATACTCAGCCACCCTTCTCTGAGTGTCAGATAATGAACATCTTTTCCCCTCCTACACCATATTATGGTCGCCTTCTGGATTCCTTCTCCGTCAATTGACCCTTGTCTCCAACAGCCTTATGAGTGTTGAGACTGCTGTTAGTACTACGGTGGTTCCTGTTGCATAAGAAATAGGGACTGGAGTAAACCATATCACGTCTGCACTTCTGTTCAATACGATTCAGACAAATCTTCAATTTCAACTCTATTTTCCTGCTTGCTCTTCATTTCTCTTGACTTCCTGAGACTCCAAAAGCTCTCATTCCTAGCTTTAAACATATTCAGCAATGAAGCGTCCACAACCTTATGCAGTAAAAATGCAAAACTCATTGAATGCCTATGTTTCTCTTTGGGCCAGTCCTAAATGATTAGCTGTGTTCCCATGTTCCAGATTCCCTACCAAAAGGAAGTGCATCTCAGTTCCTACTCTACAGTGCATGTGATTTGGAGGTTTCTGGTGTGATGACCCAACTTGTGTTTCCCTTGTATAGATATAGATGTAGATAGCTCTATACTTAAATACACCAAGCAGCCCCATCCAATACATAGCCTCCCATGTGGCTTCATTACTCTCCCATGTGGAATGTAGAAGGTCATTCACCCTGATCTGATACTGCAGGCAAGAACAGGGCGGCACGGTGGGTCAGTGGTTAGCACTGCTGCCTCACAGCGCCAGAGACCCGGGTTTGACTCCACTCTCAGGCAACTGTCTGTGTGGAGTTTGCACGTTCTCCCCGTGTCTGCATGGGTTTCCTCCGGGTGCTCCGGTTTCCTCCCATAGTCCAAAGATGTGCAGGCTAGGTGGATTGGCCATGCTAAATTGCCCGTAGTGTTCAGGGATGTGTAGATTAGGTGGGTTATAGGGGGATGGGTCTGGGTGGGATGCTCTGAGGCTCAGTGTGGACTTGTTGGGCTGAAGGGCCTGTTTCCACACTGTAGAGATTCTATGATGAATACAGTCCTGCCATCTCCATCCAAGCTTTCTTCATCTTAAGTGTCAGGTCCATCTCATGGAGAAGAACACCCACCACTCACTGACAGCCTAGAGATAAAACTGTGAAGCTCTAGGTATAATCTCTTTTTACAGCAATGCCAGAGGAGTCTGGGACTTTTTGTACTGGAGTGTAGGAGGTTGAGGGGTGACCTTCATAGAGATTTATAAAATCATGAGGGGCATAGAGAAGACGAATAGCAAAGATCTTTTCCCTAGGATGGTGGTGTTGAAAATTAGGGGGCGTCTTTTTAAGGTGAGAGGAGAAAGATTTTAAAAAGACCCGAGGGGCAACTTTTTTTTTACACAGCAAGTGGTTCGTATATGGAATAAACTGCCAGAGTGGATGCAGATACAGTTAGAACATTTAGAAGACATCTGGATAAGTACATGAATAGGAAACTTTTGGAGGGATATGGGTCAAACCCAGGCAAGTAGGATTAGTTTGCTTTGGGAACATGTCGGCATTGACTGGTTGGACTGAAGGGTCTGTTTCCATGCTGTATAACTTTATGACTCTGTAACAAATTCCAATTTCATTTTGTTATTTCCTTGGGGACGTATGGAATGTATGATCTTCTTTTCCATAGCGCTATATAATAGTTACCCACCTTCTCCTCCTCTTTATCTGTGAGATCATGCAGAAAGGCTGAATACTCATCCATTTCCGTTATTATAAAATCATGACACAGACAACAAAACCTGGATTTCTCTGTGAGGCAGATGGCCTATCAGTTGTATCACTAGAGGGGAGCCTCTTAAGCGGATGAGGTGAGAAGTGCATAAAACACCTTAATGATTAAGTTGGTCACCATCACAGCTTAAATTCTTAATCAGAGCAGGTTAACCAACGGTGATAATACCAGAGTGTTAAATTCTCAAATAGGAGATTTGCACTCAAATTTTGGTTTCTCCCCACGTTCAGACACATATCTTTAATTGAAAAACTTAATCGTGCAAGACCAAGGGTGAAAAAGTATATTAGCACTGAGAATGAGTAAAGAGAAGTAAAACCTGAAAAATAAACAGATGTTGAACTGATTGATTTAAGTTATTTGTGCAAAAGAGAAAAAAATTAAACAAGCAATTCACCACAACAATCACACTTGCCTTTTTAAAATTTGAACAGAGTACTGGAGATGTTTGTGGTTTAAGCCACATTTTAACAATGAATATCGGAGGAAATAGGATGTAATTAGATAGAAGGTGCCTAAATGTACTGGTGTGATATATGCTTGTCTAATTAATTACCTTAACTTGATTTAACTGCTTTTTTCCCTTTAGAATATCAGCTGAAAACTGAATTTCTTTGAAAAAGTATCTTTTTAAACAGTGAAACTATTAGTTCTGTCGTACTTTGTAAAATAATTCAATAACATAAATGTTTGTATTTATGACTTAAAGTTTAAAATCTGCACAAGCAGGATTCAGCATCTGCAGTAGTTTGCTCCTCCACTGGAATGTTAGTTGTTTGGCAGACTGACTTTTAAGTGGTTTGATTACAATGATTTTTAAACTATCAGAAGCTTGAAGCTAAGAAAAGCAAAAGGTAAAACAATGTGAACTGACTCTAACAAATTCTCATCTATAAAATGTTTGCTTTTTTAGGTTGAAGAATTTGCCATTCAGTTTTACTAAGCTTAAAGAGCTGGCAGCACTATGGCTATCTGATAATCAGGTAATGAACCAAGAACAACATGGAATGAAAACAAAATCAGTTTCCTAAAGTAAATCAACTATATTTTAGGATCAGGCTGTAGGAAAATCCCTACTCAGTCTCCACTGCTTAATTAAACAGAAGTGGTAAAACTAAATCTTATTATTATCCAGATTTGGTAAAAGTAGCAACCCATCTTTAGATGCTTATTTTTAATTGAGAAATCTGTTGGTGCAAGGCACGATGAAAGGTGAAAAAAATGTGTTAGCATTGGGAGCACATGAAAAGAAATAATATCTGTCAGTCATTAGACAAACAACATAGCACAGGTTATGTGGAACAAAAATAAACAGCAGGGCAGGAGTTTGAATGAAGGGAGAATGAAAAAGGAAACACGATAGGCATGAGAAGATGGTAAGATCAGGGGAACAGAAAGAACAAGAGATACAAACAACAAGAAGAGGAAAAGCAAGAGAATGCAAGGAAGATAGTAGCAGAATCAAATGCAAGAGGAAGGAAAACACCAGAGTGTATTACAAAGGAGAGGGTTAGAATGTATTTCAGGATAGAAATAATTGAGGAAGGGAGAGGAAAAATGAAAACTGGTATTGACAACAGTGAAAGTAGATGAAGATGAATGGAAACTGAATATGAGAGGAGAAATTGATGGCAAAAGAGGGATTGTAAAAGGGTGACATATTTGAGGGAAAGGTGAAATGGATGGTAGAATTTAGGAGCAGAACTGAAGGAGAAACTAGAATTCTTGGTGGGAGTGGGGACCGTGTTGGGCATAGAATGGCAGTACCACTATTATTGGAGAAGGTGTGCAGTGATAGAGTTCTATGACAAGCTGAGGGGCGTTGGGAGGCAGGGAGTACTCTGAACTCTAGGGGATCAAAAAGTGGCAGCTTGCATGAGGAAGTGGAGGAAAGTGGCAACTTAATAAAGGGGAGAAGAATGTCAGCTTGAAATGACAAGACAACATATACTGAGTGATGTGAAAGAAAATTCTGAAAGGTGCAATTTCACTGTGACCTGGGTATAGATGAGCTAGACTGCCATTCTGAAATGCAGCAAAAGGTGAATGAGTGAGTAAATATTTATATAACTTCAGAATGAGTGATTCAATTGAGAATTTTTCAAATTAAAAAGCAATTAACTGTAAAGTATCAAAGTGCCCAAAATTAAACATAATTTACTATTTGTAGTGTGAAAACCCTTATCTTGGTGGTTGATGCAGGGGCAGAGAGCACCTGCAAATGCATTCAGTTTTGTCTTTAAAATCTTATTTTTCCTAAGGGATGATCGTTAACTTCCAGCAGTGCCAGTAAGCACATTGTAGCAGTTTAGGTCAGACTTGTTATTAAACTCTGCATAACTTACTTTTAGATACTAATGGATTGCAGGCAAAGTCTATAAAGGTAGCTGAACCATTACAACCTGATTTTGATCACCTGCAGAAATTAAATCAGACTTTTTTTTAATAAAACACCTGAAAATGATAAAGATGTTATTGGCTTATGGAGCCTATGCTACTCTAGCAGGGTGCAATTTCAAAACTCCCATCATTCCTATCACCCCACACTGGCACTTAACTTGCTGATTGTGAAGCTATTGCTGTAAAGGCCTAGGCAAGTCAGTGTCATGAATAAGAAACTTAATACTTGATTTAGGCAACAGAAGACCACTTGAAAAGTTTGATCCAATTCTCAAGTCTAACCTCTTTCATGTATCCTTGGGGTAAAGGACATTGGTTTCTGAAATTAGGACTCATTGCAAGTCTTAAAACATTCACAACTGCTACCAATTTCTACCCCATAATACTCTGCCTGGTTTCCCAGCAGTACAGTGCACAATCTATTTGTTTTCACAATTTATGTGAGCAAAATACAACCAATCATTTACCCATTTCTAGGTGATATTATCTTTCAGTTTTATCGTAATGCATTTGGAGGTTTTGACAGTATTGAATTCCTGCCGGTTCTCTGTCCCCTCATATGTAGCTTTTCAACTGTCTCCACACTCCTAGCTTTACTGTTTCACAAGCTAAATTTCATCTTTTCCTCCCACACCCTATCTTGTCTCTGCAAAGTACTTGTTTAAAACCTGTTAAAAAACGATTGGCCTGAAACGTTAACTTTGCTCAGATGCTGCCTGACCTGCTGAACATCTCTAGCATTCTGTTTGTTTTTTCTTGTAGATTTCCAGCATCTGTTTCACATTATTTCTTAAATGACAGAAAGCAGCAGTTTAGTGGTGAAGTAGTACTAAAATAAAGAACTTCAGATGCTGGAAATCTGAAACAAAATAGGGATAACTAAGAGATAGTCCTTTGTGTCATTTACATTTACATTTACACTTGAACCCAGGATGGTGTACTTGAAAGCATTCAGTCCCCAAGTTCACTATAGTAGATTTGAAACTGGCTTTTTAGTCCCAGTTCTTGTGTATTCTTCAAAGGGACAAACATAAAATCTGTCTTCAGTTCAGGGTATAATTCGTAAGGATTGGGATGGCTTGCTATTGAGCAGATGTTCGATAGCCCCTCATTATCCTTGTAGTCACAAGATCACAGTTCATTCTCTTTGAAGTTTCTTTTTCCACTTTAGGTGTTGCATTCCATCTGTCCCTCTCTCTGCAGCCTGCTGCTTAATTTAGATCCATTGCTATTTTTGGTTGTATCAATGCTCTTTTGGAATAGAATAGAATAGCCTTTATTGTCACATGCACTCAAGTGCTGAAGTACAGGAGTACAGTGAAAAGTTTACAATGTTGCCTCGCATGGCGCTATCTTAGGTACAAATCTTAGATACAAAAAAAAGGAATAAAAAAAGTTGCATTGCCTTACAGTGATTCATTGTATAAGTTAGGAATAAGATACAGTTAAAAGGATAAACATTACATTGCAGTAGCTCAGCACGGGGGCTTCCAAACGTCATCTGACCAGCCTTGAAAGCCACTGACTGCCCACGCCAGACCCCAGGCCAACAACCCTCCCTGTTCCATTCCATGCCTCCAGCCTGCTCCGCTCCAACTCTCAGCTGCTCCAAGGTAAATTTTCATATCAGAAAAAAAACACTTTAAACATCTTACAGGAAGAAAAGGAGGGAAAAAAAAGCAGATGGAATGATGAGCCCCAGGCTGAGGAGCCCAAACGCTGCCATCTTACAAAAAGCACATTTTGGAATTACAAGTTAAAAATGTCCACAGTACTGTGGATTTCTGATGGGTGATCATAACAATGTGAACTTGCGCACTTTGGCAGCAAGAATGAAAAAAACAGTGTATGATTGAATGGAGAGAATTACAGAATCTGTAGCACAAGTGTGATCTAGTGTCCTGGTACATCAATCACATACAATTAGTGTACAGGTACAGTGAGTATTTAGGAAGGCAAATGGAATGTTGTCATTTATTGCAAGGGGAATAAAATATGAAATTAGGTAAGTTTTGCTGCAGTTGTACAGGACAGAATTAGTGACACCACATCTGGAGTACTGTGTACAGTTTTCACCTTTTGTAATTGGAAAAAAGTGATCATTGCTTTCAAAGCTGTTTCAGAGAAGGTTGACTCAACGCACTCTCAGGTTGAAGGGCTTATCTTGTGAAGAAAGTTTGAACAGGTGAGACCAAAAAGAGATCAGCCATGATCTTATTGAATGGTAGAGCAGGCTTAAAGGGACAAATGGCCTACTCCTACTCCCACTCCCAAGTCCTTTGTTCCTAAAATAGAAGATCTGTTGTAAGGGGAACAGCAGGGAAGATTGAATGGTGAGGGAGATGATGATACAAAGCAAAAGGAGATGAGACAGTTTATTTTAAAAAGTAGAAACGGTCCAGAAGAGTTGCAAAGGTAAATAGGCAGAATCAGAAGGCTGTAAAGTGCCTAATTAAAAGATGAAATGATGTAACTCCGGCATTCAGTAAGCTTCATGATGAAAGAAGCTGAGGTCAAAATCAGAAAGGAGCAGAGAATTGAAAAGACAGAATCTCAGAATAGTTACAGTTCAGAAGAAGTTAATTTAGCCCGTTGTTTCTGCACTGGCTCTACAAATAAGCATTAAATTTTCCCGTCATTTTCTCATAACCCTGCGTATAATTTCTATTTAAATAATCACCCAATGCCCTACTGAATGTCTCAAATGAAACTGCCTCCACCAAATTTTGAGGCAGTGCATTTCAGACCTGGCAATCATTTTAAATTTGTGCCTTCTTATTCATGATCCTTTTGAGTGGGGACAGCTTCCCCCTGTCTGCTTTGTCGAGACTTCTCATAATTCTGACAACTTCAATCAAATCTCCTTTTGACCTCTTCTCTCCAAGGAAAACAGTCCCAAATTCTTCAAATTATCCTCATAACTGAAGCTTCTCATCCCTGGAATTGTTTCCATAAGCCTTTTCTACACACTTTCCAAAACATTCTCATCCTTTCCAAAGTGTAACACCCAGAACTGTAAACAGTATTCCAGCTGAGGTCTACTTAATGTCTTGTATAAATTCAGTGTAATCTCCCTTTCCTTGTAGTTCATACTGCTATTCATAAATAAAGTGTAGGATACAGGTATACTTTATTATACACTCTGCACTTATCCTGCCATTTTTAATGACTTATACACATATATATACTTAGGTCCCTCTGCTCTTGCACACCCTTTAAAGTTATGCTCTTTATACTGTCTCTCTGTGTTCTCTCTACTCCAACGTATCACCTCACACTTATCCATATTGAACCTTATCTGCCAACTATTTCAACCAATTTGCTAATAATCTTGAAGTTCCGGACTGTCTTTCTCTAAGTTTGCAGTTTCTTCAAGTTTTTCATCCACAAACTTTGAATTTTTCCTCTGCGTTCCAAGATCTAGATCGTTGATATAAATCAAGAAAAACGAGCACCCAATCCTGATCCCAGAGGACCTTCAACACAAACCTATATCCAGCTTGAAAAATATCCATTAACTAATATTCTCTGATTTCTAATACTCAGCCAGGCAACAGGAGATTGGAGTTTATGAACTGAATAG